GAACCTCAAATCCCTAGATTTAGGACGAAGATCAGCCCTTGATGCTTTGACAGAGAGAGAAACATGTATTTTCTATTTATTTTTTTCCTGGTTTTGTTTACCTAAACCTATGCATATATTACCAAGTGTTAAAGTTCATTAATTTGGTGCTTTTTTCTCATGTGTTTAATTTGAAAATAAGCTCAAAGTGAACAGGCTCTGGGCCTGTATTTTATAACTGCTGTCAAATGCGCAATGTTGAAAATGAGGAGGGGAAAAAAAAAAACCCCAAAACTGAGACATACATTGCAAAATCAGATGCATCATTGGGAAAAAAAAGGTAAAAGACAGCATTGCAATATAGTCCTATCAATGTCTATAAAGCCTCCCTTGTTTAAGATCCCACTGCAATTCAGGAGCAAGGTCTCTGCAGGGGAGTCCTGAGACAAGCAGCCAGCTGCCATGCAGGCTGCACAGGAAAGGACCAGAAGTATCAGGTGTGGATGTCAGCTGTCTGTGTAGATGAACAGAATATCTTCATCAGTGCCGTAGCTTGTCCTGGCTTCCTCAAAGTTACTGATGCTGGTGCAGCATGTTCCTGTTAAGGAGGAACAACACGTTACTAAAAATTCAGAAGAATTTTCCTGTGAAAGGCTCTTACACTGGGTCTAGCAGCCTCTACAAAAAAAGTAACTAATACACAGACTAGTCCTATCAGCTTAGGTTACAGCTTTACTCGGGTAGATCTTTTCACCTCAAAGGCAGTGCTCACTGAAGTAATGCTGTAAATACGTAATAAATTGGCCATCCTGTTACATTCTGAACAACAGTTCAGCATCTCTCACTAACCCATCTGAAAGCAAACAAGTTTGCTAGAATGCGTATCTCAATGCCTCAGGTAAATCACAGCACAAAATACAGCACTGATTTAATTAATGTGGCAAAACCCCTTCTGACAAATTGGCTAGTGATGCTTGAAATATATGTACACTATTGGGGGAAGACCAGCTGTGGCTCTGTATTACAGACATGTTAGTAATGCACTGGCTGAGAATCCACCCAAAAGGAACAGGCTACTCACGGTCAGCATAGGCAGGGTTGTTGTAGTAAATACTCCCTGAGGCTTTGTTGTAGCCACACAACACAATGAAATGGCCCTGGTAGTCAGGATTCCTGCAGAAGCACTTCTGTCCAATGGGGAGGAAGCAGCAGTATTTGACAGGACTTGAGCAAAGATCACACAATAGCAGGACTGCATTCACTAGGACAATGGCTACATGACCTTGGGACAGGTGGTTTTGGATGTCTTGAATAGTTACTGTGCTGCAGAAAAAAATCAGACATGCTTATTAACAAGTTCAGGACAGAGACTGGTATACAATGAAGTGTGTGATGATGGACAGTACTTATGACATACAGCTGGCATTTTTATCTCACAGGTACAGCTTTTTGCTGTTAAAACCTGCAAGCTTTGCAACAGGCAAAGCCTGACAAAACCTGTGTCATTCAAGGTCTTTTGATCTCATTGCTGCTACTGAAGTGCCGAGCAACAGCTCTGGATTCTGCAGTAATATAAATGTATTCTCAGAATGTATCAGATGCCGCAGAGAAGAGTATTAAAGGACTTGGCAACTCATTCAGTAACTTGAGAGACTTCTGATGTGGGAAAATCCTAAGTGTTCTCCCCTGCTCTTAGAAAAGCTTATCTCTGAAGCACCAAATCTTTATTGACTGAGTGGTTAAATATTGTATAATCACTAACAAAATTAAGACGTGCCCAAATTTGGCTCTGTCACACAGGAATATGCTTCTCCCAGTTGCAATGTTGGACTACCTGATGCTCTTGAGGC